TCCTGATGTAGAATTATTCCCTACCCCATTACACTACCAATTTACAAACATCCTGTATAATATAACTTGTTTCGTTTAAAATTAGAAATTGATTATACAGGAAAGTGAAACGTTATTACAAATTTACGAGAAAATTTAAGGTTAACGAGTTTTGGAGCACTCGCGTGGAAGACGTATTAATGTCAAATCGGCGTTATATCGCAACAGCCTCAAGCGGAAAAAATCTCGGTAGCCGAGGTAATTTATACAGTCGAGTCTTCGAAGCGAGGCTGCTCGCGCGCGATTTCTCTCTTATTAATCTCCACCGTTTACACCTTGGAATTCAACGATTCAGCGGAGCCGATTGCTCAACCCGTGTATATTATACTCGAGTCGCGACGCGCGACACCGGCCATCCGAGACGATCTATCGACCGATTCCCTCTCGATAGATCCAATCCACGGACCACGGAAGAGGATTTCTGCGCGAATGATTCTGTAACGACCGATTACGTCCCGTTCGGTATCCGTCGGCTCCCTTACGCGTTATAATCCCATTCATCGTTCGTTACATCAGTCGGGCGAGTATCTGTTATATGGGGAACAAGCATTGTCGAAAAACCGGATTTGTCGGATTTTGGCGAAACTTGTTTGCAGACTTTTCATATTTTCGTATTTGGAAAATAAAAAATAAAATATGAAATACGAAACGTGAAATATAAAATATGTTAATGTATTAATATCAGTGCGATTATATTAATTGTAAATTGTTCAAAAAATTCTAAATCATTCTTTGGTTTTTACCTTTTGGTATATAAAAATGATTTTTATATATCAATGATTTTTACATACAAATTTGTTTACAAACAACGACAATTGCTTGTTAAAATAAAAATCATTAAGTTTAGTCATCAGTCTTGTATTAGTTGCTTGATATTCGTCTAGACATCGAGATCCTATCACATCCGGTATATTATCCAGCATGCCTGTAATTTTTAACGACAATTTCGTTATTGTTATAACGTTATACAGATATAAAAGGAAAAATGCTAAAAAAGTTACGCAACAACATTGAAATGATAACGAAACCTTCGTAAGAGTTACAAAACAAGTCTGCTGATTATTGCTTGATTACGGCCTGTTTCGCTCAATGAAACATTTTTTGCGAAATGCGAGGACGACAATTCGAAACAGTTGATCACATTAAGACAACTCGTCGTGAGTTCTAATTATATAGAGACAAAAAAAGTAGTTAGTAAACGCGAATGGTTATTGAACATAAACTCTATATATTTTGAAAAATAATGATCGTTGTTTCTGAATAAATTTGTATATAAAAACCAAAAATATTTTTTTTTACAATCTAATATTTGAACGATAATTACGATAATTATTTATTTTCTCTTTTTTTGTCGAAAAGTCGATTCCTTAAATTTTACTTGCTAACATTTTTTTTTTAAAGCATATAGATATATATTTCTAGACTTTGGGAGATTTTTTTGGTATATATAATATTTTTCATTATGCACGCACTTTTTGAGATATTATGATCTTCTGCGTTTTTACAAAGAAAATCGCAATCATCGACGTAATATTTTCTTTTTACTCCTGTTCCTTGGTTATTCATGCGTTTCTAATAGCTCTCGTAGCATTGCGCAGTCACTGCAATTTTCTTCACAAGTCATGGCCGATAAATGATTTTTGCGTGTTACTCTGTTATCCGAAAGACCGAGAGCAGTTCAAGAGGACAACGATGGACCAATCGCGAAGCCTTGAACGAGGGAGCGATCGGTCGGTCGATCGATTGATTTTTTCGTCACGGCGTCTGGTTGCATCGCTACTGCCCGTTGCAGGTGGAAGCGACTCTTTGCTCTGACCCGAAGCTTCTCAGAAATTCTCTCCAGTCATCGAGACGAATTCCACCGAAATGCGGGACGGACGATTAATGGCTTTATACGTTCCTTAAAATCTCCGCCGCGTCACAGATTAATTTGTGTTTTTTTCCCTTCGCTTCGCCGGCTTCGAAATCGAACCGTGTCATCGTGCTTTAATCATTCGACGAGAGGTTCGCACGAGTAAAGAGTCACAAAACAGAGTCTCCTTTTCTTAGAAATTTCATTTGTGCACGTGAAGGTAATAAGTGCTTTACGTGAATGTATTCGCGTATTATTGCATAATCAAGACGCGTATTTCCGGTATAAATATTGGCTTTGGCGAAAATAAAAATTAAAATATAAGTCGAATGTAAGGGGAGAATGACAGAAACATAAACGAAGCTTCTAGAAAAAATATTTTTGTTTCGTTGTCTTAATTTTCGCCTCCTACATGGAAAGAACAACTTTGTTAAAAGATTTAAAATTTTTCTGGACACAGATCTGAAAATAATTTTGAACCATTAAAATAATCACGTTGGAAACTAAAAAATGATGAGCAATGCTACAAAAAAATTTTGATATTTTATAATAACCAACTTAAGTTTCTAACAAAATTATTTTTGATGGTCCAAAATTATTTTCAGATCTGTATATCCAGTAAAATTTTAGATCTTTTAGCAAAATCATTCTTTCCGTATAGAAGCTTTGTGTACGCTTCTGTCATTCTTTTCTTGCATTCGATTTGTGCTTTGTTTTTATTTTATTTCCAGGACGCATATCATAATCATTGGTTATTCGAGAAGAAACTGCGATGCGTTCTCAGAGCTGGAGATTGGAGATGACATTTCAGTAGTTCAAGCCACATTCGATGCTTAAATTAAATTGCAATAATAATAATCTAAGAATAATCTAAGTATAAATATGATTATCAATAATATAGCGATACGGTTTCTCAAACTATCGGTCACGAATGTCACGGTATGCGGATGTTTAGACGAAAAGCACGGATGTTTAGACAAATACGCTTCAGTTATATGTGCACATTAATTCATGCGTTGAAATAATTTATGACATTGTGCATGATACAAAATGCAGTACAGGAGGTAGGTGTATTTTGAAGTAAGATGAAAATTACAGAAGTGAGCATATTCATTAGAATATTTATAATTTCATCGGTCGTCATCGAATAAATTTGCTCACTTTTCATCTCATTTCTAAATATACAATCGACCCCCAGGAGTGCGTTTCAAAATGTAACTACAATATATAATCAAAACTCTGCTCTTTAAATTCTTTAGAATGGAATTTCATTCTAAAGAAAATTTCCATACAGCATATACCTCCAAGAGACATTTTAAAGATGTTTGAAAGACGTGTTTTAAAGACGTTCCTAGAACGTCTATTGTATAAAGTGTGCTGTATGGGTTGAGTCAATCTTGAAAAAGAATGATTCAATTTTCAATTTTTAAGAGTGAGAGGCGTTCTTCTAAAAGTAGTTTTAGAGAGTTTTCACATCACGTAAACTGTAGCATTTTGATTAATTTTGTTTTGGAACAACTCACAAGTGACTCCGCTCACGGATTGTAAAAAGATAGAAAGAACCGGCGAGATTTCGTAGAAGACGGAAAAAGGGACACATCGATCGGGAAGTAGGTGGACGTGGCGGAAAATAAAAACGAGATAGTCGCAGCATTACACGTGAAACGCACGGGTCATAAAAAATCCGAAGCGCAGGTATAAATCGACCGATCTACAAGTCCGCGCGTGAGGGCGATCCTAATCTCGCGCTCCGTTCATGGCGCGGGGAGTCCCAACGCACGGAAAACCAAAAAGATACCGTGAAGAAGAGCCAAGAGGAGAGCAGAGGAGATCGGGGCCGCTAAATTGCCGGGATTCGTTAGAAAATCGCCGGTATGCGGTGCGTCACGCATTCAGGATGGGAAGGGGGAAAGAGGAACCCGGGGAAGATATTAGAGCCTCGAAGGAATTTCGAGTACACGGCATCGCCCACAGCGTTAAGATTTCTCAACCCTCTCGGCTCTCGTTCGCCATGAGAATCGGTAAGAATTCACGGCAAATTCGAAAATCATGTTGATACCATCGATGCCTCGCCACGTCGTTTAATGTAATCGAAGACGAGTTGTACTTATTCATGAATAGGATGCTTGACTGATTTTAGATTTCTTGTAATTTCAAAATGATTTCGATTTTTTATAAATTTGATTTCAAAGTAATTACATGTTTTTATTTTGATACTTAATTACGTAACTTCAATTTATTTCTTAAAGTTTTTGATGTTGAAATGACTTCAACTGAGTTTTCATTTAACTTGATTTCAAATTAATTTCAACGATGGAGAGACGCTTGACTGATTTCACGAGTAAATAATCTCTCGATCGAGGATTCTATAATACAAATGTTCCTATTTGTTCTCCTTGTATTTTGAAGGCCACCCGTTTCCTATGCTACCATTTTTGGACGCCCGTCATAAACGTCGCGCTGCTGTCTGGTACTTCATTGTTGATTCATGCTTTACACCGACGTTTTTATTTCCGCCGCTGTTCTGTGAGAGACATATTCGTCGCAGGCGACTGACAATAAAAACAGACAAGAAACGTCGTTTCGCCATACGTATCTTACGAGGTAATTAATAGAAACGAGAAGTCAGCTCATTCGCTCGTCCATAAACCGCGAGACGGAATGTCACGAGAGAGAGAGAGAGAGAGAAAGCGAAACAGAGACCGAATGACGCATAAATTTGCATGTTGTATACACGCACCCTCGCACGAAGGATCTCGCGAATCTCGCGACGCTATCGCATGGTTCGAGTTAATGATCTCGGTAATTGAATAAATGCGGAAGGCGATTAGTTGCGGCGCCGAGACGCGTTTTAATGAGCTGCCGTCTAAATCACCACGCTCGACTTACTGCAAATTTAATCTAGAGTTAATCGGCATTTAATTTAAATACTCGTCTCGCGTAACTAACAGACTTATGTTTCCCATCAGTCGCACTCATCAGACGCTCGATCTAACTTTGCGTTAATTTGCAATATTCGGTCGTCCGCAGTCTAATTAAATTCGCCAGAGTACGATGACTTGGGGATCACATGTACCGAGAGATGTAGTCACGCAATTTTATTCCAGTGTCAAATAAAGCAGAATTTATTACACTTAACTAAGAATGAATATTGTGTATCTCTTTGTACAACCGTAACGGACAAAGCGCGTACACGACGATAACAAATGCAAGGTTCAAAGTTGGACAAACAACAAAAAACAGTTGAAACGCTGTGCATTGTATTAGAAAGCAATATCATTATCACGTTTTTATTTTTTCTTGAATCTAGCTTTCTTTGCCGCCACCACGGCGTTCGGTGACTTTGGATTAGCTTGATTTTTGTGTTTCTTGCTTTCGACGTGCTGAGCGAACGTGGTCTCCGAGTTTAACGATACATTACACGGTGCGCAGTAATACTGTCCTGTGAAACAAAAAGTCATTGCATCAGCGTTAGTCATGAAACGGTGATTCTTTCATAATCTTTATATACCATAACGATTTTTTTTTACCTGATGGTGTCCGATAAATAGAATAATCTATAGGTTCCGAGACGTTAGACGTGTTCTCATTTTCAGCTGCTGAAACAAAACGTGAAAAATTAATGAGCGACATATATACACATAAATATGACGTTTATCTTATTGACTTACCGGGTTCAGGTATGGGGAGTCCGTTGAGCCTGAGCATTCTCAAATGTCGGGCTCCGCGTTTGTGTGTCTCCAATTGATCCTGACGATTGGCTGAAACTTGACATAAGTCGCAGCGCAATGGCGTAGGATACGGTGGTGACGTGTATATTGATGGTACCGCAGCTGGATTCGGCACAGTGGCTACACCGTCAGATACAATCGGTGTCGCAGCCGGGGCGGATTGCACGTCCGTTTGAAAGGCCGTTCCAATTCCAAAGCGACCTGTCGAATCCACCTGACTGTACTGGTTTTGAGTTGGCAGCTTCTTTGATGGCCTGTGGGTTGCAACTGTCTTATTATCACGACAAAAGTAATTTAACTTAATCGTAGGTTTATTACGCGAGTTATTGAATAAAAATAAATTAAATAAATTATTAAACTATCAGATTGTTAAGTAAATAATATTATTATAGAGTTTCAATGTAGAGCTTCATACCTCGCGCGAGGCCCGCCGTTCGCCGCCCTAATGTGCTTTTTGCCCGCGTAGTGTTGCGTGGCGTCAGTTTGCGACGTAAACCATGTTTTGCATATCTAGCAATGTAGATTGTATGCGAGGTACATTAATATACGATTTACGTATGTAAATACATAACTGTAGACGAAACATTGTAGGCCTCTTACATCACAGTAGTTTTGCCAGTCGTTATTGGTCGTACTGCTCACTTGGCCGTCTTCCGTTTTCTGTTTTTTAACGCTCTGATTGAGAAACATCGATACTTTTTTCTGATGCGGCTTGCCGTCATAGTGTAGTTTCGCTTGTAACGTGGAGTTCATCTACAAAGTACGATATTGCTTCGTCGATATACAATGTTAGTAATTTTATCGATACGAGATCTACGATTACAGAATTAGTCTCGAAATAAAACTAAATTTAAACGGAGAAAACTCTCTAATTATTCAATTATAATTAGCTGGGCCTTACGACTGCATTGCACAGATCACATTTGAGTGGTTTCATTAATGCCGATAGTTCCCTTTGCGCGCTCGCCACTTTCTCTGAGAAATACATACACAGAAATTATATATTAATAATCTGTTTTCCATTATTTTTAATCAAAAAAATTCTCTAATTACCTGCGTCCTGTGCTGGATCTATAAACTCGTTTTTGCGTTTGTAAAAGTTCTTGTTCTTGTTTTTTCCTACTGCGGTCACCGCGGGAGATGCCACTGGTGCAGCAGGTGAACCCTTGTAAGTCGGATCGTACCACGGAGTATAAAGTTCTGAAGTATCATTATCGCTCGGTATCCACCAGGGGGGCTGGGTTGGCTGTTGTCCGGGAGTTTGCGGATGCATTGTTGGATGTAGCATGTACGGATTCGGTGGCATAGAATTCGGGAACGTCCCATCAGTCGCGATCGCCACCGGGGTGACTGCCATCATGTTCTCATTTACCGCCGGTCGTTGCTGTTGCGTCGTTGTCGATTGTACATTGCTGTTCGAGGATTTGTTTGCAGAAGACAGCGGTGGCGGGGGCGGGGGAGGCGGTGGTGGCGGCGGCGGCGGTGGCGGAGGTGGTGGCAGATAAGTTTCGAGTCCTGTTGCGAGAGAAGATGATAAACCAAAGGTTTTAAGTCATCTTTATGTTTACGAAAGGGAAAGGAAGGGATCTTCGACCGGTATAGTGGTACCATATTTTTCTCATTTTAGGACACACAGGAATTTGTAAAAAAGTCAGAACTTATAAATCATGCGACACCCCGCAATTTTACTGCGGTAATTTATCACGTCATTGTTATTCTATATATAGTGAAAAAAACTTCTTGGATCTACAGCATGGTGAGATAATTATGCAGCGATACGTATGTTTGTGTGCTTTGAATTAATCATACCTATACTTATTTTTGTCAACTCGTACCATTTTTACAGCTTAACGGTAAAGTATTGTGAAGTGACGAACAAAGGGAGATTGAAAGAAGCTTCTTTAACTTTCGTCAATGGTGTTGGACAAGTTTATTAGCGTTCGGATTTACAACAATGTATCACTCTTACTATCAAAAGCCTATCGATTCGTCAAAATTTTACAGCGCCGCGAGATTTACGATCGTGATAATTATCGCGGACTGATGATTCGTTTTCGGCGAGAAACGTATAGATAAGTCAGACGGCGTCATTAACGATGAGATGCCTATCGTGCTCTTACAATTTACAGAGGAATCGCGTTTAATTGCACGCATACGCTATATTAAGCGTCGCGTTAATTCGCGCGATTGGTTGATACAAAGACCTACGACATTATGAAATAATACATCTCACGCCCAGACAACGATACATATTTAGCTTATCGCACCGCCGCAGTACTGACGTAATTTATTTTAACATTCGTTATACGTAGCGACTCCGTGTTTCCGGTATTATTCTCATAGTATATTCATAATCGGTTTTATTGCAAGATAAGTTCTTATCACAAGTAATACATTGAGATGCTAATATGGTTTTGTGATGTGCTCATAATGATCTTAATAGAAAAATCGGTTATTCTGATAAATATTTTCTTAAATTTTTGAACATTTTTCAGAAATATTGAGAAAGTTTATCTCTTTTCTTAGAATTTTTCATGTACATGAATTATGAAATATTCAGATTTCTTATTCTATAATTTCTAAAAACATAAATTTAAACTTAAATTTTTTTAAATTTTATAAGATTTTATTCTTATATTCTTTTATTCTTATGGTGTTTCTCAACACTTTGAAAGGTTTCCAATTTGTATAAAAAATTGTATAGCAATTTTTTGAAAAGATATAATTTTTAATTTAAAAAAATAAATTATTCAGAAATTTTGAAAAATTTTGAAATTTATGTAAAAATTCTACAAACTATGAAAAATTCTGAGAAAAATTTTTATCAGGATATAAATACTATAAAGTCATATAGACAGATTTAAATTCGCATCACACTATGCATTAGAGATTAAGGATTGTGAATTGAAAATTAGAATTTAACCAACCTGAACGAATTCTAATTTAAAATTTTTATCTCCAGTGCATAATGTAACATGGACTTTAGATTCATTTCTTTATCAATATAGATCAACTTCAATCTCAGTTTTTAACTTATTAATCTTTTTCTTATTCTTAAAGCTAGAAAAATATAAGGAGTAAATTAAACTAACCGAGATTAAAGTTTAAAATCTATAGTAGAAATAGATATTATATTAGGTGTTGGAATTAATTCGTAGCGTTTTACAAGTGATGGGAAGTACTTTCATTAATGTATTTTTTAATGCTTATGCTGATTACATAATCAGTATACAAATGATGACAGGCAAAAAATGTTGATCGTTTGCTTTTGATAATATTTCAGTTTGACTCAAACTGAAGGAATCAAGTGTTTTCATTTATTCAGAATTGATATATTCCACAATTAATAAAATAATTACACAATTTCAGACATTATAATACTATACTTTAACTTTAAATATTAATTATTGTGACATCCTTCCATATTTATATATTTGCATTTGACATTACCTTTAATTTTTTTTACAAAAATATTCTCTGAAATGTCTATCGACTTTTATAAAATTAACAAAACAATAAATATTTACATACGTTTTAAATATTTCGTTCGGGCGAGACGGAAAACCGAGTGAGTCGTAGATTAGATCTGCTATGTTGTTATAACATAGCATTAAGCGCTCGCATGTACATTGCGTGATCCATGTACTCTTCGACGTGCGGTGCTCGCAATTTACTCGTCAACGTAATACACACATACATGATAATTGTCTCGTCCGGCGAGTCACGATCCGACGATTTCGGAACTTCAAATAATGCCGATTACAACAGATCGTGCGCTAATTGAGATAATCTTTCAAACCTACGGAGCGTTCCGAGAATCGACAAAATATCCCGGGCAACCTCCGTCAGGATTACTTCCTTCTTTTATCCTTGGCATCAAGCTCCGCGTTGTCGTTTTATAGATGCACGTTATTGCAAAGCGGATGAGTCGAATTGGTGTCGAGGTGAGAGGAAAGGGGAAAAAAAGGATCGTCTCGAGGATGACGCATGACTCACCCGGCACTTCTGGATTCTCTATGAGTTTGGCGCTGGACATTTTCCTGCCTTGGCGAAGATTTCTACTCAAACGATTCTATCGTTTCTATTGAGCACAGCTCGACGGAGAATCTTCGCTATGACTCACGTGGATGTCGCGATTCCGCGCCGCGGTTTCGTCGACCTCCTCGCCGTCGACCTCCTCCTCGTCGTCGTCGTTGTCGTCGTCGTCGTCTCGTGCTCGTTACCGTTTCTCGTCGCGTAACGACACGTAACGTCACACCGGACACACTGTGGCCCGCACGTCGACATCGACTGTCGCTTGTCCGGAGCAAAAAGTTTGGTGAGGTTAATTCAGGCGAGTTTGACACAAGCCGACGACATTACGCGAACGCGTGATATTGACCCACAGCGCAAGATGGCTGCACGCATCACGCATGTCGAGCGAGACCGATCAGACTGAACGGAAGACTCATCGAGACTACTCCATGGACTACTCCAATCTCCAACTACTTCGTGGTCTTCGAGTTCCGAGTGTTCCGACGCTCCGACTGCCCGTATGATTGTCGTGAGAAAGGTTCGATTTTGTTGATTTTGCTGATAACCGGTTCACGTAGTGACCGTAGTCACCAGTTCTTCGTCACGATGGAAGACGAAATAGGTGATGAGTTGCTTCAGTGTCTCGAGGAGAAAATCGCCAGTGGCCACAGCATGGTCGAGAGGTTGAAGCTCATGGACAAGATCGACGGGATTGATAAACTGATACGGAAGATTCAGCAAGAGATAAAATTTTTGGAGAAGGTAAAAGAAATTTTATGTACAGATATAATAGAGTATGAGTGTTTTCTAGCAATTAAAGACACAACTATCACAAGTGAAGATCCTTGTTATTTGGCAATGTTAAACAAAGACGAAATGATCATCAAATTTTAATTTTAAGAATTAGGAAAAGCTTATATTGGAGGACTCTCTTTAATTCTAAGAATTAATTATTCTTTCAATTTCAGTTTAATTCACTATTTATCTTTTCTTAATTAGAATTCTATTAATCTTAGAAAAGATATATAGTAAGTTAAACTGAGATTAAGTTAACCTTACATTCACAGAATCAAGCTTAGGCTTGTTCTTTTTAATTGAAACTTCTTGCACGGTTCAACTTTCCTCTTTTTTTTTCATTGGAGAGAAAAACAGAATAGATGAACTATGTTATATGAATATATTCAGCTAAAAAAACAGATCTCTTATATCTTTTGATTCTTCTTGAGATCTCTTGTGTCTCTTATTGGAAAGCATGTACTTCGAATGAATCTATCATGATTCGGTGCAAAAGTTTTAGAGTTGAGAATTAATTCTTCTCTATCTGGTAGAGTAGATTTTTAGCATACCAGTTGAATTAGTAGATTAATAACTTAATGCTTTTTTTTACAAAGGTACAATATACAGGAAACTTGAACAAGAAACATCTCCAGAGCTCGAATCTGACTCATCTCGATGCTATGGTGGCTCGACTATCCTGTGCAAAGGATCCCATGAGCGTAATGAGACCCTTCAAGTATCAGAAATCACGTTTGGAAGTTGATATAGTATGTAATAGTGGCGCTTCGTGGGTGAAGGTTATAGCAAGAAACGCTAGAGCATTAACTCTGATATCTCTCGGCAATGGAGAATACGGGCAGAAATCTGTTCTGGACCAAGCTAATTCGTACCTTGTATGTAGCAAGTATCATCTCCATCATTATAGACCGCCAGATGTGATATTTCATTTTGCTTACGGCGTAGAGGTTCCACTGGCCTTGCAATTGGAACAAATGGGCATCACAGTGGAAGGAGATAGAATAGAAACAAACAATGAGAACTTGAACAGTCAGTATCAATTTATCTCTAATAAATATTTAAAGAAAATCAACTATATCGTATGAAAATAATTTCATGTATATACTTATTGTTCTCTTTTTGTTTTTTGGAGGTAGAACAAGATGAACTGGATTTGTCCAAAGGATCTACAAGCGATTCCGAAAAGGATTTGAATATGGATTTGCAGTCGTTAAATACATCTGTTCTGTCAACCGAAATCAGACTCCTGAATCTCGATGTGTCGGCGCTTTTGGCTTACGTTACGAATATGGCTAATGGCTATAATAATTACGTTTATCGGGAGCCATTACTTACGCAACAAGCAGAAATGGAAAGGAAACGTCCCATAAAACCGATTCTAGAAAATTTGTTTCGGGACAAAGAACTTATAATCTGCCGGACAGCATATAACAATTTTATGAATATTATCGATGTTATTGGTGGTCCAAATGAAACGCAGCGTGCTCAAGAATTGTTAAAGAAAGTCCGAATCGTTGACGATGTCACTACTGGACGAATTATGGAACTCCGCTTAGGCGGTAAAATTAAAGATCGATCGCGACTGATTTTTGCAACGGGTGAAAGTATGAAAAGCATTACAGTTTCTGCTAATGAAGGATTTGTAAGAGCGGCGCGCATGCAGGTAATTATATTCAGCATATAAAATTGTTTTACTGTCCGTTTTACATCACTGATAATGAATAATATTATAGATATTTTATTTTTTTAGGGCATTGAGTGTACAGTTTTCTTACACGAACCACGATCTCTATCAGAAGTTAAAGAAACTAATGCAACAAGTATAGAGCAATCTTGATATTATTTCGAATATCTAGGCAATCACAAAGAAAATATATACTGGTACTAAGCATTTCTATATTGCTAATTTATTATATTAATTTATATATATTATATAAGACGATGTTTATATGTTATTTCTCTGGAGAAAGAAGCTACTATATTTCATCATTGATTATCTGAACATTGGATTTGTTAAATTGAAGCTCTATATTTTCTTGAAATTCTGCAAAATATAAAATAAATTGTTATTACACAAAAGACGAGGTGTAAGATTAAAATATTTAATAATACCATCGATAAATTTGTTGAAATGAGGATTCTTTTCTTTGGCCATCCTTATATATTCTTTACTCTTTTCCCTATTTCTGAGATGCATATAACATTTAGCGCTATACAAAAGAGCTTTTAAATTTGAGTCACTCAGTTTTAATGTCCACTCGCAGTCGTGCAAGGCTTTTTCGAATAATTCGAGATTCATATACGATAACGCGCGATTATTCCACAATACAGAAGAATCTTTACGTTGTTCCAATGCTTTGCTATAATAAGTCACGGCCTTCTCGTAATCGCCTTCTTTAAATGCACCGTTTGCAATTCTCTTTAACGTTTCTGCCCGTTCATTTCTAATCTTACGTTCTTCAGCTCGTTTTTTAGCATCTTTTTCCACACTCTTCATGAATACCTCTGTTTATATAAATCGCGTCAATTTATAATTTATCACTGCTCGCCGAATAGACAAAACAATAGCATAATACATGTATAAATGTACCTCGCGACATTTGGTTCGGATCATTGTTTGAATCATGTTCCTTCGACGGATATTTATTAATTACTGATCGATCAGTTTTAACTTTTACTTCACTATCTCCATAGACTTCTTTTTCAACACCTTGTTTTAAAATTTCATCGGCTAATTTTTTCCCACATTCTTGTTCTTGTTGATCGGAAGGTGCTAATTTCTTCACGATTTTTTCTTGAATGAAAAATTTTATTGATACAAGTAAATTTGCAATATAATCGCATATCATACTCACCTACTTCAGTGACACGATGCATGAAATTTTGAAATTCTTCTTCTGTTACATGTTCATCAGGATTTAATTTATTAACAATATCATTTGCCAGTTCTGTTTTATCACAATTTACTTTATTCTTCATATTCATATCCATTTTTTATGTAAAATCGTAGGAACAATTGCAAAAACCTTTTGTATGCGCTATAAGGAGAAATGTCAAGTTTGCTTCCAAGGAAACCGCTATATAACAGAGTTGCTATGGTTTGTTACGCTACATATCTACTATCGCTGCTTTCTTTTTAATACAATTGATTTTTGACACAAGTCAACATACGTCGTTTTTCATTTATTTATAATTTTGTTTAAATTCAATTACACTTTTCGACTCTGTTGGCGAGGAGAGTCAAAGTATGTTCAAATGTTATTTTGAGTGATATCGGGACGCGTCCACAAATCAGCTCAAACACTTCTAATTCTGTTTTTTTTTAACAGTGTATGTCTTTTACTATTAAGCATCAATAATTTGGAAAGCACCGTTTGAAAAATTTTAAACTAAAGGTGGGAGCACAAAATCTTGCAATAATGGATAAGGCATAATAGAATCAACCAATTAAAATTTTTTATTTCATAGAAAGGAAATAAATGAAAGATTTTTGATTGATTCATTTTCTTGTGTATTACACTTATATAAAGCGAAAGTCTATGTTCCAGTCTTATAAATTTTTTGAAGCATTGTCAAGTTAGGTATTAAAAATTCACACACACTGCATATACAGCGGTCTATTAATTGTGGCAAATGTTTGACGAATGTTAATTTGAGTCGATTTACGTTTCTTAAAAAGAAAGCAGTTTGTTATATTATGTATATATAAATCGATCTAAGGGCCAGTTATTCCACCTTCGGATAAATTATGACAATTTTGTGAAAATTTATTTAATGCATAAAAGACAGAGCGAAAGATAGAGACGACGAGAGCGAGGAACGAGTGATTTGAAATTTATCAAAAGGTGAAACAACCCAGTCATAATGTATCTATTATCAATTAAATTATCGCATAAAAAAAATTTACATTAAAGAATAATTTTAGTCGTATACGTAGATTTTAAAATAAGTTACGATTTGCACAGTTTTATTATAAAACAGCAGGATCATGCAACGTAAATATTGAGGAAACGATGATTAATTATTGTATATATAGCAGTCTGAAATTTCAAATGTCATGTATATGAATATCAAATATGTGAGAACATACAACAATACTTATATACATTTTCTTATCGATTGATGAATCTTAGTCACATTAACTGTTTGAATCTTTTCTAGGTAAAAATTCTTTATGATGAGCGTTCTTATTTAATGAATGGACCAACATCTGAGGATAAAACTGTTGCGTGGTTTTACTGCTTTCCAAGTTATCATTGTCAATTTCGTCAACTTCTAAAGGATCCATGTCAACATCTTCTTCCATATCGGAAGATATGTCAATTTCGTCCTTTATGTAAACTGTACTTAAATTGTTATCTTCACTCGAATTTTTTTTAACTTTTCTTCTATCTAAAGGTTCGTTTATTTTATTGTCTGGCACAGAAGTAGATGGCTTTCCTGCTGTGATCTCTACTTCATCCATAATACAACGCACTTTCTGAAAAGATAATGGTTTGTTTGTTATTGTGGATAACACACTTGGCCAACTGATCTCGGGATGCGTCGGAAAATCTTTTCTCTTTCGCTGCATCGGGGACATTCTTCGCACTCCTCTACTTGTACTTGGCTCGTTAATGTCTATAATACTGATACCGGAATTGCTAGTCTCTAGTCGTTGACACAACTCGCTTATGTTAATCTCTTCGTTCTTCGGCGTTTCCTGAGGAACTTTGGCTGGCTGTAAGGATTGGCTGGTTTTGTAAGGATTTGTCTTCGGAACAAATTTCATCTGCGAAATCGTTTTATTCTGTGTTTTCGTGCTTATCTCATGTTCTGAGCTGACATTGCTTCTACTAGGTGAGTTCTTGGCTTCCTCCAATTTCAATCGCGACACCGTCGTCATCTTCTTCAACACGTCGCAGTGCTCCTTGTTATTGGAACCTTCGGATAGCAGCGATGGCGGGATGTGACGGAGCCCAGTGACTTCAAATGTCTCGGCGAGTTTCAGTAGCCTTCTAACCTCGCTCTGCACTATTTGTATTTCGCCACAGTACATGAAATTTAGAAGAGTCTTGAGATCATCGGCCTCGATGTCGTGCAGGACGATCATCGGATGTGGATGATCGTTAGCCAAGAGTAATCGGCGGAAGAAGGAGCTCGAATTAGCCAGTACCATCTTATGACATTTAAGGATTGTACCATCCTTACACGCCAGGGAGAGATCAACGAATTGCTGTTTCTCGTAACAAGTGTCGAGTGAGCCCACCATGTGCGATGGGAAGCTCTGCCATTTGAAGCTCAGCAGGGAATCCTCCTTCATTGTTGCGCTTTTAAGTCAACTCTTCAAGTCAGAGATCTCGTGATCAGGTAATGCGGGATATTCGGTGTTTCTAACAACTATATTCGCCATGACACCACGTGCCGCTGTTGTCGTGCATTGTCGTCGTCACGTCACGAAGCCAAAGATGGGGATGGAGATATTAAAGATGGAGCTGAGACGAAGATGTTAGATTGTAGAGGTGGATTTTTCCGGCGGGACTTTTCGTACGCATGCGTGAATACGTCACTGCACGGTCACGTGATAATTTCCTCCATTTTCCTCGAGATTGCACCAATGCTTGGTTGTTTTAATTTTAAGCGAGGCTTAAAACTCTCTTTAAAAAAAGAAAGAGGGAACGTTAAGCTTCTAAAATGCTTTTAAGCTTTTGAAATATTCATAGACGTATGTATGTATATTTACACACATCACGTTGGGATATTCATTTTTTTAAATAGGCAGGTGTGTTAAAACACCCCAAACAAGTTTTATCTTTGCAGTTATATTTTTCATAACAATAACATTCATATAGCTAAATTTACATTATATATTTTATGAAACAGGGTAATGTAAAAATAATAAATGAACTTTTTAGGAGTTCCGAGTAATACTTTTTTTTTCTTTTTTTAGAACAAGGTTTTTAAAATAATTATACGTTTTCATCTACACAATTTTTATATTATCATCAGGTTGTAATAAATCTAACCACAGAATCAAGAAATTAAAAATTTTGCTTAATTTAGCTATATTAAATCGGCTTATAACTAGAAACTTTTACATTATTATTAAAAAACTAAAAAAAAATCAGACTAAAAAACTTAAAATGTATTCAGGAAGACGCTATTTGTGACTTGTTACCCTTATATTACGTCTAATGAACGCTAAAGGTAGACCGAAGAACAGAAAAGTTTCGAAATTCCCGCAAACTGTACTGCTCGGCTCGAGATATCGAAGGGCCGAGATATCGCGAGGTCTCGAGCGCGAGATCGCTCGACCGTAAGGGGGGCGACTTCTCGACGGTCCAATTGGCTTCGATAATTGCAAATGGTCGTTTAATAACAGATGATTGAACGCGTTCGGCGGCGCGCGGCGTGGCATTTATCTGTCAAAAGCGGTGGCGGCCGGCCGATGAACATTGTGATGCGCCGCCGGTTGACGCGCGTCCGTTGACCGTTGAACCGGCGAGACGTGGATCTGCGGACGCTCCGAAGCTCTTTACTTTTCCCGGCTCCGGTAACGACGGCGGGCGACGGGAACGTCGACAGTCGACACACGACGGACGGCGGCGACGACGCGGCGGGAGAGCGAGAGAGCGACAGAGAGGGCGAGACGCGCGAGAGACGAGCGTGCGGAGCGGGCGACCTTTGAATAACCGACGCGTACGTTTATTATTATGTGATTGCGGATTGCGCGCGGGTTCACGACGGCATAACGAGGCAGACGACAGGAAGAAAGCTGTAGGAAAATGCGGAGCACCGACGTTTTCTGCTATCTCATCGTGGCGACTCTCGCCGTTCTGAGCACGCTCGGTCGTGCAGGTGAGTACCCACATTGGATTTATTCTCGAGAGTATACATTGTGGAGCAGCCAAGGTAGAAAGAGAGAAGAGAGAAAGAGAGAGAGAAAGAGAGAATATATCGTGCCAGGCCCGCTGTCTGGCTGGTAAATTAAAGCTCGAGCGAAATTGGTTCGTCCGAGCGAGCCGCCGCAGTCACCCCAGCTTAACCACAATGGTCTTCTTCCGCTCTTTCTCTCTCCTTCTCTCTCTTTCTCCGTGCCTCTCGATCCCTCCGTCTCCGTCGTTCTTTCTCGAAATCACGGATCGTCTCTGAGAGAGCACCCTTGGCTGCTACGCAGAATCGTCCAGATCAACCCGCCAACACGTGTGACTCTTGTGTGCTCTCGTTCCTGCACTTCCGGCGGTTCCACGCCAAAAATGATGCGTCAAAAATGCGCTTTTCACAGCGAGAGATATATTCCGCCGAAATTTATCCCGAGTACTCTCTAAATTCTTCGGAGTGAAATCTTACTCCAGAGTGAAAATTGAGCCAGTCTCGTAAACGAGTGGCTCGGTTTTCAATCTTCATCTAAGGAGTAGTGTATTCTCACATAAAAGTCAATAAAAAGTTAAAATGGCTTTATTTTGATTCTTAACGTCAATAAATAGTTAAATTTTGTAATAAAAAAAGTCATTATTTTGACTTTATGACGAAATAAGTCATTCCAACTTTCTCTTCATTCCGTGCGTTTTTTCGATAAGAGTGAAGTTTCATTAGTGAGATTCACTCTAAAGGTTTTAGAGAGTAATCGATATTGATTTTTACTTTTATATTCAATTTTATTTTTAAATATTATGATTTTTATGCGCGTGATACGGTTTTTGCGCTTCGCAGAAATACAGGAAATACTACCGGCGATAATTTAACAGTATCACACTGTACGATCTATGGACTGTACGCGCAATATGATAAAAATGCAAATAATTGACACGACAATACTACCGAAGAGCGTACTAAAAGGTATCGAGCTGTTCCGAAAAAACGGAGCTCGATGGAAATTTCGCCCGCGCTTTCTCTATTGACGCAATCACCATATTTTTTTTGCAAATAAAAACACATTGAAGTAACGAACAAATTACATCACTCTTCATATTGTCTCTGTCTATTGAATGACAAATAAACATATATATATATATATATATATATATATACACAATGTGCTTCGCTCGCTGATTTATCGTTTCTCACATTTTTACGTTGCGTTCAATTTATTGCGAAAGCGAATTTGAAATGCTTAGTTGCTAGGGCCGCTGTTTTTTCCCTGATAATTATGACGTCAAAGCGCGCGCGAGGAACTCATTTGCGATAAACATGTCTCTTTAAGGATATATTTTTTATTTCACCGTGGATTTATGGACCTGTGCATCCATACCGATGTACTTCCTTTTTTTTTTTATTGCGTGATATAATCGTCGATTGCTTCGGGGTAGAAATCGAACCATGACGCAATTAGTCTGTTAATTTGATGCCTTGTCAGTTTATTACGTTGTTAATATTGAATTGCGTGCTTTTTGTTATTAATTAATTTCTGTTGGATATTTTTATCTTTTATATGAACTCTCTAAATTCTTTGGAATTACTCTAAAGAATGAAAATTGAGCCAATCTTGAAAAAGAGTAGCTCAATCTTTAAAAGTTTTCTTTAATCTTTAAAAGTTAGGTTCCTTTTACTTTTTAGAGTAAGATTTATTTGGAAAGTATAGGTCACGTAGATGACAACATAATGCTACGACATATTTATTTTTGTATTTCGTATCGTTTTGAGATTTCTACTTGATTGCTTTGTGGTTTTTTACTGCCATCGTTTTTTTTTTAAATTCCTGAAAGAAATAGCATTTTTATATTATATAAAATTTCTATATTCTGAATCTTTAAGTAGGTAGATTTAAAGATATGAATACAAGTGATAAAACGGGTATTTAAGAACATCCCAAACAATTTCATTTTATAAATCGACTAATGGAACAAGGATTACGAGCAGGGTTTTTAGTGCTAAATTAATACATAACAAAATTCATGTATTAAACAAACCTAATCATAATTTCACATTTTAATCTAATATTATAATCTCATGTTTATATTTAGTACATTTAAGTTTCATTTTGTGTGTGTGTGTGTGTGTGTGTTAATTTATTATTAAAGAATGTGCTTTAACTCATAATCCCGTGTTTTATTAGTTGATTCGTAATCTTTTAAGTCTTTGTTTTCAACTTATTGTTTAATTCTGCAATTATATTTTTTATTTGAATTTTATGTTATTTTTACTTGCATATTATATTGTGTGTTATGTTAACATTTCACTGAAAAAGAGTTTGATAATAACTGCCAAATGTTTAGTGAAATGACGTCAATTAAATGTTTGATTAATATAATCCAAAATAATTGTTATCTTCCCTAAATATTTTTGATTATATAAACAAAACATTTAAACTTCATTGGCATTTCATGAAACACTCAGTAGCGTTACCAAACTTCTTTTTCAGGATAATTATAAGATAGATGAAGTAAAAATAATGAACTTTAAAACTTCTGGGATATCTCTGAGAAATACATTTTATTTTCCTTTTACGGACAAGATTTTAAAGAAAACTATATCTGGAACATCTGTTGCGCCATCCCATCTATTTTTTTAAAGACAAACATATCTGAATGACGAGGTCTGTTTATCTCGGAAAACTATTTTCGCCACGAGATTTTCCGATCAACAACGATTTATCGGTACGCAGTCGTACGTATCTGTCGTAATTGGCTTTAACGACGTGGATGTTTGACGTTGTTTCATCCGCTATCTGTTTTTATTGGTCGTATATCTATGTCGATCGTACCGCACCACGGATAAAAACGAGACGGCTCGATGATCATCCTACGAGTTTCATGCACACCGTTCCACCGTTGAAACGGCTCCATATTAATTTAAATAACCGGCAGGTTATATAAGCACGCGCGCGCGAAGAATTCGTCGGAAAGAAAACTGGCAGAACGGTATTCGCATGTGAATATCTCATGAATATCGTTCCGGAGCGTATTTTAGCATCCTCAGTGGGCGAGAAAACGCGCGATTACCTCCGCCTACTTCGCTCGTACTTTCATTGCATATTTGTTTATTTGAAAGTTACACGTGTATTGCACGTGGCGGGTCGTCCGTCCATTCGTACGATAATGGAATAATATACAGAGTTAATAAAACGGAACACCTTGTATACAATCGTGGGTCGAAAATAAATTGACTTGGCGATACCATCTCTCGATATACCAACGTTTTATGTATTCCTTTCATATCTTCTTCCATCGTCGTCCCAAACCAATTTTCGTAAAAGGATGTTCTGTGTATAAAGTACACTTCGGAAAATTCCAAGTGAAGACTTACGCTATCTTAGGCGGATATTCTTTCGGTTCATACATGAAACAAAAAGAATCGGTAAGGGATACGCATGCGTGAAATCTTTCGGTGAATTCGCGTTTACGTGGCGAAATTCGGTCGGATGAAATTGAATAGTCGATGCGAAATTGAGTGAAGACACGCGAAGAGTATATTCCTGTAGCTTTCTTTTCGAGTAATATTTAGTTTTATGGGTATCATTGTATAATGTGAGTTTTCATTCCGAGAATATTGAATCTGTGTCGGGACCTGTTCTATACTTTTTATCACGTTTTTAGCATTTTCTTTTGCTGTATCAATCGATATTTAAAAACGATAGCGATAACAGCGCACCGATTACATATCTTTTATTCACACAGACAAAGGACAGTTTGCGGAATTGCATCGATTTCGCGTCGTTGTTATCAGAATATTTCATTGATTGCAATGTTTTTCAATAATTCAAGATACTGGCAGCTGTCTGTACACTATAAATATCGGCGAATGTCAGTCACAGTTTTCTTTTTTATTAATTTAATGCTGCATCTTTTATGTAACGAGCAACATTTTTATTTATCTAGATATAGATCTGAAAATAATTTTATTGGGTATCAAAATAATTATGTACCTTCTAACACTTCCAGTAACCAGTTTGATCGTCCTATATAATTATCTCAATAATCCAAAGTTCTTTTCTGCTTAATTCTTTCAAATGTATAATTTATATTGCAGATATTTGTACTTTCTGTTTACTATTTATATTAATTTATTTATTAATTATACTGATGAATATATTATTCAGGGAATTAAATCAGCATTTAGCTGCAGCCTCGTCTTTTGTTTGCAATTAGTATTGTATTTATATTGCATATATATATATATATATATATTAGGTGTTGGAATTAATTCGTAGCGTTTTTAATGAAAGAATGTTATTTATTTCACATGAGCATTAAAAAATACATTAATGAAAGTACTTCCCATCACTTGTAAAACGCTACGAATTAATTCCAACACCTAATATATATATGCAATATATATATATATTATTCGATATGTCTCTTTATTATTGGCATTGGATAAAGTTATTATTATTATTGTTATTAATTATTTTTTATCTGTATCTAAATTTTTATTTGATACACATTTGAAATTTTTAGACACTTTAGTAAAATCACTCTTACTGTGTAATTGTTTATTCGCAATGCTTATACCTTTTATTCTCTTCTCAGATATTGTTTTGATTTTATGTTATCAAGAAGAAGATAGTTACATAACCCAAGTGTAATCTTAATTCGCGATAGGAATGTCCTTTTGAATGGAATTCTCCTTCGATTCTAATACGATTTAACGGCGGAGACCTGCCTGCTGTGAGACTTCATGAAAGTAAAGATGAACAGACTCTTTGTTCACTTGAACGATCCGACGTTATCGCGGAAAAGTGATCCGTATTGTATGCCGCGAGAATGTAATAAATGGATCGAATATGATATCTCGAACACTGAAACCGTTGAAATTTTACACCGACAGCGAATCTGCCGGTCTGAATTACGTGATTATATTCAACGCGCTTTACGATCGGGCGACATAAATTGTCGACATAAATTGTAAAATCGTACGTACAGTCGGAGATGCATTACGCGTTAATTTTATTCGCGAAGGTAAAATCTTGATATACGAGAAATTTTTTTTCAATGTGAAATTTTCTTTATGATGAACATAATGTTATTCTTTATTAACGATAATTTATATAATGACGTGTACATTTCCGTGATGTCTCAATGAAAGAAGCCACGTTAGGACAACGTTATAGAATTAATACAACATTTATTAGTACAACAGCTATTTAAATCAAAAATAAGTCTCATAATACGCTTGACTCAGCCTCAGTGCGGTTAACCCCTCATATATGCTGTTGATAAAACGAATTCATCTCTATTAACTGATTCAGCCAATCATGCGTCACGCGGGCTCGATGGAGTTACGAAAATGCCATTCATCCTCGTGTCTCTTTGTGTCTTCTGTTCTGGATGAGATAATGAATTGTTCGACGGCGATAACGAGACGGATAAGAAACGTAGCGCGTTCGATTAAGTCTCACATGATGCACGTAATCATCGATTTATATTTTTATGTGATGTACATGTCGTATTGTCTTGAATTATGTGACTTTATCTCTTCAAGATTGCAGGCAGTCTCAACAAACAAAGCTTTCGAATGACATTTAATTCACGAAATCTCTTTGTTTAATGCAGAATTTATTTATAACATTTTATTGTGTTCTGAAACAATGAAAGTTTTTTTAGATGGCATGATTAATGGTTTTAGAATTTTCAGAGAGTCATCTGTATAATAATAGAATATGTGATTTAAGTTTCACTCTCTTTTCCTGTTTATTTGTTATCACAAAATTGTCACGTTTATAATTGGATTAAAATTTAAGTGTTATCTTAACAATTATAATTTTGAAGTGATATGCAGTATTTGAATATTATTTATGTTGCTTTAATATGATTACGAATTGAATTAGCATTATTTTAGCAGCGAACGAGCGAAGCGAAGCGAAGCGAAGCGAATTTCTTATTGTTCCATCAGACAATGGCAGTAAATATTTTTAGTTGACTAGATCAGCATACAGAAATTTTATTGGATTACGTCCAGTTTGAACATGACTCGTGCTATTAGTTATTATCTTTTTGTAATATCTTTGTTTGCTTTCTCAGCAAATATTTATTTTTCGAGCTATTTTAATATCGCTGATATATATCAATGTTGTCATACTGATATATTACAAAGTTATAATACTCATAAATATTCAACAATAAATTATTTTTTGTAATTATTTTTTAAAATTTCCACAAGTTTTTACAAATATTCCATATAAATGTCCCTTCAAAAATAATATTTTATTTTTAATTCGTTCGATTGCTAGCAATGCGTTGCAATATTAAGTGGAGATCTGGCGAATTTATTAAATGCAAGTTGAATGCTGGACGTTCTGGATCGACTCGATGATTCATTTACCATTAAAGTATTGATGGCGATTCTTTTCAGAGAGCAACGACGATGCACACACATCGAAACCGTGTAACACTTCGGATCTCACCGAGCAGTGCGGTAAAAATCAGAGGTGCCGTGTAACCAGCAATGGCAAGCAGATGTGCGAGTGTCAACGAGATTTTTATTTTGTTGATGGTGAATGCATTAGGGCATCAACATCCACGATGACAAACGTCGACGTTACCACCCTCAAGCCAGAGCATAGGTCTGAGTCAGGAGGTACGTGTACACCGGGAAAACGCAGTAATCCGCTGCTAAATGTTTGTTTGTTCTTCATCGTAAGCTTTACCATGAAAAAAAAATAGGGTTCTTCTAACAAACTGGTTCTTCTAACAAATCGCATCTTTGCTTCTTTTATCATTTTTTGAAGATAAAATCCAATATCCGAATGTATGTAATCAGCCTCACGTTCACTTTATGAGCGTCTTAACTCATGATTACTGTTTAACTTGCCTATTATTCATTTATTGACATATGATAAAGAAATAACAGGAAGAAAAAAACAACCTTCAAAGTTAACCAGTAGCTAACGTCAACAGCGAACTAAATTTTCAATGAATTTGATTTAGGTAGCTCTGTAGCCGCCGGTCTGCTAATACCCACCTTCCTTATAGTAGTCGGTGTACTACTGTACTTCGGCGCGAGACGATACAAATGGTTACAACGATTTCGGCAGTATCGTCACAATCGTTACGGCAATGTCATAGTCACGAGAGACGACGATGATGACGACGATCCACCGATAGCGTAAAATGATAAATAAAATGTAAGGGAGAATTATAGAGATATGCACAGGCCGCGTGTACCAAACGATCAAACTTGAATAGGTGCAGTGTATGCTTGTGTGCTGAAGAACGTACACAGTTACGAGGCTGTAGTGTGGACTTTGATACGGGAATACACACACACACACACACACACACACACACACACACACCCAAACACACGCAGCAATGGTAACGCTTGTTTTGATTCCTTTAGGAATCGTTACCACGTAATTCCGTGCAAGCATCAGCAGGGAAGTATATCTACTAGGTGCACAAGAGACGGGAGAAGAAAATGAATTACGAGGCCAAATGTAAAGATGCACTCGCGCGAGTAATTATGCTTTTATCATTAATTTGAAGATAGATTGGTTGCGATTGGCAGCAGAACACAACAGTTTTACAACTGTTCTATAATTGTCTGCTGAGATGGGATTATTCTTCTAGATCTAAAAGTATAATTCAATCAGCGCGAAGAAAACTTTCAACAGTTGCAAAATAAATGTTCTGTTGAATGTAGACATTATTAGACATTGATTGTCAATTTAATGTTGACGACATACAAATATTATATATATACTTTATATAATTATAATGATTGTATAATTGCATACATAATTGTATGCTTACAGTTTCAAAAAATGAAATATTTTTGACGTAACGTTTACTTTATCCATCAAGGATGTAAAAGCATTGTTACTCTCACGCTAGTTGCCGAATCTATATTTATATGTGATGGTTGATTAAGAAATATAAAGCATAATAGACTATGTTTCTGATAATTCTAAGGATTCACTGAGAGCATAATTTTTTACATTGATATTAAAATAAGCTGGTCAGTAAATCTTATATACTATTAATAGGTGTATAATAATCAGGTGATCATTTTTTTATCACCATCCTCGCTATAGCTGGAATTTAGGAAAGTTATATTAAATGTTGTGTGTCATTATTGTGAATAGGATTACGTCTATTCTCTTTTACAGTAATTTGATGAAGTAATGTGGTTAATAAGTCAAAATTACCCTCTTTTTTTAAATTTTCTTAAATTACGGCTAATTTTTTGATCTCTATAATAATAATAATAATTAAATTTAAGAGCATTGAAAGGAATATTTAAATTTAAGTATTTAATAACTACTATAAATATTTTTTGCGATTTACAAATAATACAATTTACAAATAATACAATTTTTTTCTATTAATCCATTACTGATATGTAAATTTAGGACGAATACCAAATAAACTCTGTATTATTTTTATGTGGATCTAAATTAGTACTTACTTAAACTGCAGGAAATTTGGAAGCGATTGCATTTATACCAAAAAGATGTCTTGTTCTTTAATTTCTTCGACATTTCTGTAAAATAATAAAATTTGTAAATACGATATTCGGGACTGCATACTCTTGCCAACAACAATTTTTTCCTAATAATTTAATCTAATTGTGATTGGAAGATGTATTATCTATATATCGTTTATGACAAATATGAGCTTTAGCTCGTAAAAGATTAATAAAATAAGCTTTCGAGAATTATACATATATATTATATACGTATCCTATTCTTGTACTCTATCATTTTTGTACAGAATCTACGCCCGAATCTAGAACCCGAAAAGATCGTAACAACTGTTCAATGTATAGTAGTGACTTTGGTCGCCGTCTAGATTTGATATTTTTATAGTTCGCAAGTATCTGAGAACGGCGAGTGGTACTGGCGAATTATTATAATTGCATTAGTTTTAATACAGCGACAACATTTATTATCGATCCAAAGTACTGTCTGCTCATTTGTTATTACGTCGGTGCATTTTAATATTGATGACTGAATATCCTGTTACTATTATAGCCACGTTTATACAAAATCGTAATAAATATTTGTTAAATATCACTTTCTTATCGAGATAGTTTATATATTTCCTTTCTTTTTATGTTAAAAAAACTAGATATTTACAATTTGTGTATTCGTGGCTCCGTTAGGTTGTCAATCATGTCTCTGTGATGTATTTTATGTTATATGACTGAATTTTCGTTGTTGATCGATTGCATTTTCTCGGCACAATGAATAATCTAATTATGAAATATTTTCCGTGTAAATAATACATAACTGTTGCTGTTACCAATGTTTGACACAGTTCTATTACTTCATATGGGACGTTTCTGAAAAATCTGACAAAACTTTGAGAATTTATTCTACTGATTATTAGGAATAAAAAAGTTGACGTTGATATATTCAAAAAATTTCAATTCTGAGCTTTTTAAGGTACATATATACAATAATAAATTTTCAAAAAAATTAATTTGCAATTAAATTTAATTTAGAAATTAAATTTACAATAATTATTTTAATGACAAGTAAATTTCAGATCTTTCAAAAATATTCTGTATACATTTTGCACATTAACAGGCAGTGTAAGTAGCAGCATTATTTAAAATCATTTGAAAACAACTGTCGCTTTAAACTTTAGTACGAAAAATATATTTAGTTATCTTTACGTGATTTCTGAATTTCTCTACTCCACCTTGTAATATTTATGAATTTCTTACAATTACAGGCAAATGTTCCGTTGTGTAATTTATGTCATTTGTACTATAAAGTACAAATAAAAATAAAAATCTCAAAAAATTCTGCAACTGAACATTTTCAAGTATTATTGCTATATTTGCATATCACATATACAGCCATCAAAATATAATGAGGGGCAATAAATAACACGTAAGTATATTTTCTCACTCTTTTATATCATACGTAAATATATCGACATAGCTTTAAGACAAGATATACGCTCAGGAAGACTTATCCGCTAGTAATAGCTATCGAATTCGACGATAGAACTTAATGTATATAATTTCTTTTTCATAGAGGACCACATACTTTGAATCGCAATTTAACGTGCATAGCATATTTTAGAGTTACACGATTATTTACAAGTTTGTTTATAGTTAAGAAAAATGGAGATTTGTTTCCAGCACCCCTGAAACTTCAGTGATGATTTATATGTGAATGACATTAATATTGCAAATTACATTGTTATTAGAATGTATCACGTTTTAAGTTCTGTAATTGCATCACGTTATTAGTTCAGAAGGAAAACGAGTTTATTATATGACATATGCTACAGCATTTGTGTAGTGCTACATCATTTTAAGTGGATTCTAGTTATTCAGAATTTCTCTAGCGAAGATCTCAGAACGAGTTATCTGCGATCGGTGTTATATCGTTGAACATTAATCCTGCCTTTGCTTTTCATCGCGATACGCGTGAATAAGTATCGATTAATATCAGAATGATATCTCATTGTTCTCATTGTTATCTGATTATCGGATTGTACTTTCTTTTCCAAAGGCGTGGCGTAGTGCCATTCCGTGACAATGATCTATTGACAATAATTTCATCTTTTTTCTCATCTTTTAATTTTCAATAATTTATCTCGAAATCCCGCGAGTTATTAACATCTAACTGAATCATCCGCAGATTATTTTCTACCCTCAGAGCGGCGCGATGAATGCTTCGCGCGTTCTTTGGAATGAAAGACACTGATCTGATTGCAACAGGGCTAAAAATCGAACGCGATGGATCCGTTCGTGGAAAGCCAATTTCATAAAAGAACGCAGTGTTTCTCTTCCATGAAAGTGTCTTTCCTAAGTCGTTCGGTGGCAGTATAAATTAGTCTCGTTTAGCGCTCGTTGAAGCAAGATGTACGCCTCAAACTTCACTTCCTCGTGAAATCTCAAACACTTTCTCGTAATATTCGTAGTTGGTACATTACGATGTACATCTCTTTAGTACGCCGTATAATCTTGCCACGGTCTCTGCTGTCTGTATTGCGTTCCGCTGATCTGTACAGCCTCCGGCGTCCTGTAATACACCGCTCGACTCCGATCGTTATTACTGATACTCGGCAGGAACTGATTTGGAATGAATGATTTTTGTTGATGCTGCTGTTGCTGCTGCTGATTGATCGGCCTGGAGAGCTTGTAGTTGTTCTCGGAAGGTTGTAACACGGTGTCTCTACCGAGCTGTCTGTGAAGAGGTAGAACGAATCCGCTCGGCAAATTAGCTTCTTGAACCAACGTCGGCGTCAGGGCGTCGTTCAGAGTAACATCGTACTCGCTCTCGGGAATATCCTGAAGGCGATGCGTTACTTCGTTGATTCTTTGCTTTGCTCTGTAGCTACCTGGTCCCGATGGCAGTTCCTGAGTGTCCTCGTTCCTGTACGTTGAACTGTAGATGTTTGGTGTGGTCTCAATGGAAGAAAGTCTCACTTTGCTGCGAATCGGAGAACCCGAGGATGTCTGCACATTACCGACATTCGCGTGCTTTTCGCTCGAATAATTTTCTATCCATTTAGGCGTTAGATTCTCGGTTTGATGGTTACGCGAATCGTACGATTGATTCTGAGTGGAGTATTCTTTGGAAGAGTTCGACAGATCTTCTGGGCCTCTCGAGACTTCCTCCTCATTATTCTTCTCTATCGGTTTTCGTAGCGTCGGTCTGGCTATCGCGCTATCGTACTCTTCCTGACGTTGTTTCTTCTGAAGATCACTTTGAACGGCTTTGTAAGCGTCATACGTCTGCTTATTATCCGATCGCAGAGGTGGTTCCTGATGATTAAAGTTTCTATTATCTTCTTGTTCCTCTTGCACATAATAATTCCTGTAGTCATTCTCGCCTAAAGTGCTTCGATGATTAGTTGTCTCTTCGTCTCTTCTAGACGAATGCGGTGCTTTAGAACCGACCGGTGATAATCCTCTCGGATTAGGATTACCGCCTCGAGACGGTAGGAAAGGCCTCTTCACGATTCGAACGGTGGTTCGAGGTGGAGGAGGAGACGGTGGCTCTTCCAATGGCTCGTCGTAATACTCGGAAGAGTACTCATCCGGATACGCTATTTGATGATTCTGTTCGTTTCTACCTTCTAGGTCTCTATCTTGGTAATCCACTTGATGAGACGGTCTCTGAGAATTCTCGGACAAATTTCTGTGATAATCCTCGGTATCGCTCACCACACGACCACTTTGAATCTGAATAGGTCTAGTTGGTCGTTCCGGATAAGATGGCTTTTCCGATCGATCGGTCACTGCGT